CCCTTTCCCTACCACTTCCCTCCCTTATCAAACACTGGCCCATTTCAACAACTTGCCCTAAGCCAGGCTAGGGACCAACAGGTAGCGTAGCAGTAGGTGATGCAGCAGTCAGTGCTTTGCACCGAAAGCTTCAGCAGGCTGATTCTTTTCACCTATCGACTGATGATAGGGCAAAAAAATGCAGCAACCTTGGATGGGGTAAGGGCTTTCCACAAGGGTAAAAACTGGGTCAGCTTCTGGTTTATATTTCATGGCTGTGTGAAGGAATTAAGGTGGAGTTTTTTCATTACAAGAAATACTTTAACAGCAAAAATATAATTAGCGTCTTGTGGCGACTTGTTTATATGATGAGTCTGTTTTAATAATGAGCATGGCATTAAATTCACAGAAAGGTAATTGTGTACTCTGCTAGGCTTTCCTGCATGACTGTTTTTATATTAATATGCATATCCAGACAGTTACTCTTCTGGTTGTCAGAAATTTGTCCTTGTCTAGGAAGGTTCATCTAATTAATTGCTAGATTAATTTACAATCACTGAAAAAAATTTAGAAAGGATTAAAAAAAAAAAACCCACCCAACAAACAGCTATTTCTTTCTAATGATGACAAAGGTCTTTTTAAAGTTTTGTAAGGAGTAAACTTTAATCAGAGGCCACTGATATGTTTATTATTCATTAATTACATTGAACATTTAGAAATGTACTCTGTCCTGGAATAGGTAACATGTATCTAACACAATAACAAATAACAACTGCATTTTTATTACCAAGAAGTTGTAACAGGATTTTTACTAGAACTCTGAAATCAGATTTATAACACACATTTGCATACAGGTCTGTGCAAATCATCATGTATTTGTCAACTGTGTTCTATTTTTTGTAACTACATAAACACATATTGTACACAGAGATGCATTAGAGGGCTCCTGTGATGTAATTATGAGAAAATATTTGTTCTCCATGTTTCTTCAAAATACTGATGATCAATACATTGAGAAACACAGACTCTTAGTAACTATTATTAGCGAAGATTTCAATTCCTTTTACATGCCCTACAGATACAGGCTTTGTACCACCCTCTTGCTGTTACTAGGAATCTGGGAAAAACACATCCTCATATTATGTCTAAACGTAAAGACAGATGTGAGATTTGATATGTGGTGCATGAAGATAAAGCCCACAGCTCTGTGCTTAATTGCTGTGAAGGGTAGCAAGTTACTGCAGCCAAGTGTTTGTGTAGAAACACACATCTGATGCCCGGTGCAGTGGACAGCAGATCCGGTTGGGGGGTGTTAACGTACCAGGACCTCGGTCAGTTTAGGCAGTCCTTCCAGTTATGGAAAACATCTTTATTAATTAATCCTTGACAAAGCAGGGAAATTACATCTCACGTCACTTGGAGGAGCTGGATTTTAAAAAATAACCCAAAACTTTAAATAAAGCTGGCACATGTTGTTGTCCATGGGCTTGGAACCTGGCTGAGAAAGCTGCTTTTCCTGCCCCTGCTCACCTTCCTATGCAAAGAGCTGGGAATTTCAGGCAATAAATACAAAAATGTATTGGGGTGGGGGATGGGGAAAAGAGGAAGGGGCCCTTGTTAATGCACCATGTTACTCTCCACGCTATCACTTTGGGAAATTTAGCTAACAGTTTCAGAGTACGAAGACATTTACGCATAAGTTACAGAAATAATTTGTAGAGTTATGTATCCCTCTTCCCAGTGGTGAAATTCAAGCTCTAGAGACTAACACTTAGATTAGATTCGTTGACAGCAGGGCACTGGTTCCCTCATTTAATGCAATATTATTTCTATAGCAACAGAGACACAGATTCAGTGTTTTATTGCACAAAAAAAGATTGCTTGAAATGGAAAACAAGGCCTCTGCCCAAAGAGTCTAGGAAATCATACTAAGTGAAGATTATTTTAGGACAATTATATCTTGGCTTGACCTTCTCTTGGTAGTAGGTCAAAACTACTTCTGAGAAGTGAAGCCCATGGAGACAGAGGCGGAGAAATGTCTCGGCACTCCTTGGATGTAGCGCTGCAGGGGAAGGGCTAGGATGAGCACGCTAACCATGAGCCACACCAATATGCAGTGCCCCCTGAAGGCACCTCACTCTGTATCTGCAACTGAGGTAAGCAATAGATGAAGAAGATAGGGAAGTGATTTAAAAAAAAAAAAAGCAAGCCACCAGAAAACTACAGTGGTCACTGCCATAGCATAAAAGGTATTCCCTTTAATCTCTACCTGGCACAGAGCTAGCTATAATATTTAATTATTCCAGTTGTTATGAAGAACATTTTTCTTTGATGACATGTACTTCTTTAGCTTAGACAGATGTTTCTCGTAGGTGAATTAGGAAAATGACATAATGCCAAGTGGCAATGTAAAAAAAAATATTTTGGGAAGCGTCAGAGTAGATGTAAGTGAATTAATTTCTGTTCTGTTTATCCTGGCATCATGTGCGGTGACATTTTTAAATCCCAGGCTACAATATTCTGTCTTTATGTTAGGTTCTGTAAATACAGCCTTGCCCTGAGATAAATGACTTTGCGAATTAACAGCCCATAAAGGGCAACTGGGCTTTTATAAAAAGTATGAAAGTGAGAACTGTTGCTAGTGTAGTTGCCTACAAGTTTTGGCAGCTTCCATCTACCATTTCTGAAAGGGTAGTGACGTCAACATGTGCAGAAAGGTGCAGTGCCACCTTCTCTCTTGCAGTACATCTTTCTGTTGCATGTTACATCACTATTTGCCTAAACACTTCCAGTATTCTTTCTGCAGTGCTTAAAGGAGCAAGACAGCCTGCCTTCACTCGCTGAAAGCACAGGTTTCAAGAAGACACCTGCTTTTAAAGCATTTTCACAGAAGCTGGCTTCAGTCAGCAGAACTCACATCATTCTGTCGCAGGAACAATCCTTCAGCTCCTAACCCACAGTGAGTTTCCTTTGCTGTTCCACAGAACAGGAAAGCCTCTGAAACAGAGGGTTGGGTTTGGGGTTTTAATGCTCTGGCTATAAAACCCACTGCAAGCACTGTTTACCTCCAAACACTCTCCAGTGCACACTGATTGCAGTTTTGCAGCTGAGGCAACCCTTCACTCACAGTAACCTCCACCAACAGCATAACTTCTGCCCCTGAAGCATTCCAAATGAAAAATTAGCAGTCAGTTAACTAAAGCACCCATTTTTCTGCTGACATGAGTTAGGAGAGTGGAAGGGGGCAGGGTTATAATGGTATTATTAGGTGGCACCCCTAGGCATGTCCGTGCCCGGAGAACTCCAAGTACTCGCCCGAGGCAGGGGAAGCCTGCCAGCCCCTGCGAGGGAACAGGGGTGTGGTGGGAACGGTGGGATACCGGCCCGGATCTCCAACTCGTGTCATTTTCCAACAGACAGAAGTTCTAGCGAGGTAACCCTACCTCTGCTAACGATCAAAGCTATCGGTCATGAATTCAGAGAGAAAAAGCCCGTCAGAGGTCAATTACTCAACATTACGTGCTGACACTGCATTTTGGAACCCTTTCTACCCTCCAAAGGGCATCTGAGGAGTCACTTTCAGGAATGTGGCTGGCCCAAGCTGACTCAGCCGCAGGGCAGAACTGCTGCAGCTCAACCCATGACGCTGCTGTTTCTGAACCTCCTTTTGGGTTGGTTTTCTTGGGAGCCGCAGCAGTACCTCTCATCTACCTGTTCTGCAACACTTGACACCGCACAGCGTCACGGCTTGCTACAGGAAAGGCTACAGACATGAAAAAACATGGACCTACCATCTTTAAAAGTTTGGCTAGGGGGGCCCCAGCCGAGCCAGAGGAGATATTTACATCCTCACTGATGCTTTGCAGTAAGTTACGGTGGTGTCTGTCTCTGCAACACATTCACTTGGCTTGAGCTGCGGACCAGCACGGGCACTCTCAGGGTGAAGCTACCCAGGATGTTTTCAGCCATTTAACAACATATAAAAACGTAGCACAAACATTTCCTGGATTTCCAAATTACTTGGTCTCAGTGTTTCAAAATATCTTAAAAATGTCCCCAAACTGAGAGGAGTTGAAAACATAATTTTTAAAGGAAAACACAAATTTTCAGTTTGAAAAGAAGAAAGTAAAAGAAAATTGTATAACTATGAGCTCTGAAACAAGCAACACTCTTGAAAAGCCCTGATATGACAACTGCAATCTGCCTAACACTTAACCCAAGGGACTGATTATCAAAGAACAGCTAAGAGCTACATTGTAGATTAAAATACTATACAAAATATCAAGTAGAAGTAGTATGCAAACCTGATAAAAGCAAAATAAAAACTGTCAAAACACCAACAGTGACAATGGAATTTATAAAAAACATTGGGCCCATTCCTTCTGTAATTCATTACGGTATCAGGAGAATTCCTGGAATGATGTCAAAAGACAAGTAATTCTTGCTGGAAGCAATCACACGATTGTTATAGGACAGATTTGTGTCTTTTCCTGGGCCTTACAGTGCATCACAATTGCTTTAATGAAAGAGTCTAATTATTTTGGGCGCTTTCCTGTTCTTGAGATGTTTGTTCTTTTTATTGGTTTTCATGACTGTCTGCACTGGCTCTCCTCCTTTTGCATGCCCTTTAGAGGACTTTCCCTAGTAGTATTCCCTAACTTTCCAGAGCAGAGAAGAGGGCAGCCCAAGGCTGCGTTCACAGCAGGCTCCTTTTCTAAGTACCTCCACTGAAACAAATTTAACTGCTACCTCTATCCCTCTGTTGGAAAGCAGCCTCCTCCTGTTCAGAACAGGATTGCCTTTCATCTCTGCTGTCGTTTTGCTACCTGGCTGTTGGC